GCTGCCCTGAGGGTGCTGCTGCTGCTGCGAAGAAAAGGAGGGATCACCCGGCTTACGCTTCACCGCCGAGATCTTGTGCGCACCTAGCTGCGCCGTTTTCTTGTTCTGGGATTGCTCCCAGGCAGTGACGACAGCCTCCCGGACTTTGTCAATGTCCATAGTCGATGTCGATCCCTGGACTAAGACTTGAACGAGGGAGTCATACCGAGGAGGGAGTGCATTGAGACAGATCAGTCCCTGGAGACAATTAGGGATGGTCTGTTTCTCAGAAGCCAAAGCGTTAAAGTGCTTGGCGATTGTTATGATTTTCCCATGCTTGTCTCATTCCATTTCCATTCCGAGCATTGCTATTGGACAGTACCTTTCTCTGAGTAGAACTTCCCATGGACGCTATCTTCTTCCCACACGTTATCTCCCTTGACTCACCTTCTACCAATAGGCGCCCTTGTATTTCTCATTTCTCTGAGTTACGTTCTCACAGGATAGCTTACGCGTCCTTTCTTATTGTTCTCTTCTTTGGGTATTAACCCCTATACCAGTTACTATATATACTGTAGGAAAACCCATGTATTCCTTAGTTCAACCTCCTGTTGAATACAGCGATTACCTGGACTCTTGACTTGACCGTTGGCATTGGCCCGGCCAGACCTACCTTTCAGTACGCTTACTGAGGTAGTGACGACATAACTGTTGGCACGTGGCCCAGTTATCTCAAGACGACTAGTTAGGACATCGCTTCCTAACAGCGATCTTGGCGAAGGCGGGAGTGGGATGTTGATCGGCTGGGATCTTGGTAGTTAACACCCCACGCAGTTCATTATAGATTGAGGCAAGAGACGAGATACCGTATGTGTCGTCAAGCTCGTCCTAAGTTTCTTTAGCCGTTGTCTTGCTTTGAATAAGGGTGGCAACGGCAGGGGAGCATCGAAGACGAATAGTACCGATCGTCTTGGTATCATTCAGTCTCCAGGCGTCTCGTGCAGAGGTATCTTCACTGGTGCTGCCATCCTTGTAGGTGGTTACAACAGGGCTAGGCATAGTAATTGTACTGTCACAGTGCCCCCAAAGGCCTTGGGACATCAGGTACGCCTTCATCTGTTGTGACCAGAGTGGCCAGTTCGAGCCATCGAGGACGGGGACAACAGTGATCAGATTGTCCGACATTGTTGTGGAGCGATTGAGAGATCTGAAATCTGTATCGAGATCTCATCAGTATCAGCAAAGCTATGCAGCCCGATAAGGGCGCACTGCTCCATGCTGTTGGCTCCATTAGGGAGTTACCCCAGGATCGATCATCAAGCCTGATGGCTGCTGATAACAGCACCTACGGCGATGATCACGCATCAAGCCACACTGCAGCCTGTGAGGGTGCATAGGGCGATGCACAGGTGAGCGAGGCGCAACGCGCTGCAGCGAGTTACCGCGCAGGTGCAAGCTGCCTATTTGGGCTCATAACCTGATGAAGAGTTATGGAGGCAGCAGCACGCACAGTGCGCCCTACACAACTCACCTGTCCATGGGAGTGGATACAGGGTGAGCATTGGAGAGTTGGAATTGGGAAACGATCTGGTCAATGAGGGCAATTTGGGATAGCGCAACAGTATGGGCAGGGCTATCACGTTCGATAGCGATACCGATGCAGAATTTCACATCTCCTTGGTCAGAGATTTGCCACTTCTATCGGAGCTGATCATTGATCCGTTCATTGAGGTCAGTCCGGCTGGCAACTGACAGGAAGTCATCGACGTGAACGCCAGCCAGGATGGTGCCAGAGTCATCAGAATGATAATAGATACAATGCTCACAAGATAAGCGAGTGAAGTTCAGTTCCACCATCCGTTCATGCATCATCCGGTTCCATATGCGACCAGCTTGCTTCATGCCGTAGAGACCTTTCTGTAGCTCCCAGACCCAATCCTCCTTGCCAGGTTCCTCAAACCCTTCCGGTTGTTGCATATAGCAAGTTTCATCGGCAGGGAGAAGACCATAGAGGAATGCTGTTTGATGTCAATCTGTTGGGCGTCCCAGTCCAGAGCAGCAGCAAGGTGCAATAAGACACGGAAGGATTCCATGCGCATGGTGGGTGAAGAGGTTTTGTCATAGTCCAACCTGAAAACAGCCTCGTACCCTTTGCAGACATAGCGCGCCTTATAGCGTACGGGGGCACCCGTTTGATCGCACTTGAGTCGGAAAATAGGACGGCCGCGCATCAGTTTGCAGCCAGGAGGGACAGCAGATGGTGGGACGAGTTTGTAGACTCCGAGTTCCTTGATGGATGCGAACTCCTCCAGGAGAGCATTGCGCCAGGATGGAGCATCAGTAGACTCCATAGCCTTTCAGAGGTTCTTCGGATCATCAGGGAATTCAACATCGATAGGGCCATCCTTGAGCGCCGCAAAGGACTCATGAAGAAGAGCAACAACCTCTTCAAGAGTTTCAGGGGGGTGAGCAGCAAGATACTGAGCACAAAGACGTGCCCGGCAGCAGTGGACTCAGCAACAGCACGCTGAACGGGATCGATTTTCGCAAGCCCTTCTTTGGCGGCACATTTTTCGCTTGGAGTAGGAACACGCCCGGAACGACAAAGAAGAGGGGGGACGGGTGAAGGAGGTGGAGGTACCACAGGTTCTGGGGATGAGGTTCCGTGACAGTTGGTGGGAAAAAGATGAGTGGTGAGATGGGAGGTGGTGATGATGCTTCAGGTGCAGGCGACTCCGTAGATTTGTCATGCAAGACCTGAGGCACAACATGGCCTGGAAACAGTGATTGTAGTATCTCTTCATGTGATTCAATGAACTGGACATGGTAGGATGTAACAATTTTATGGGTAGCCCGATGATAGCATCAATACACTTTTGAGTTCTGGCTGTAACCGATGAGGATGCATTCGAGGGAGCGGGCATTGACCTTAGGATTGTATTGGTTTTGAATGAGGACAATCGCTCGGCAACCAATTTTGCGGAGATTAGATAGGTCGGGTTTGCGGCCATAGTATGCCTCGAAGGGTGTTTTTCCGATGAGAGAATGTGAGGGTGTATGGACAGTCAGGTAGCAAGCGGTAACAATGAACTCATCCCATCAGTTTACATGGAGATCAGCTTGTAGCCGCATGGTGCGAGCCTTGTTGCGCAGCGTACAATGGATGCGCTCCACACGGCCATTATGAGCAGACATATACGGAGCCATGAACTGCTGTTGCGTTCCACGAGAGGCAAGCCAACTTGCCATTTGTGTGCTCTTTAACTCGCCGCAGTCGGTACAAACATAGCATAAAGGACATACTAACATAGCCTAATTCACGCTCCGAGACACCCCGCAGGGGAGGCGGCATTGATGTCTGCATGCGGAGATGTTTTGACGGGTGGGGTCAGCGTCAAAGTTCACTTATTCAGGCGAAACACTGCTGTAAGGCATCATGAAATAATCATCATGGGACTTACCCGATGCAACTGCTGGGGATGCCATAGGTGTATGGAATTTGCCACGAGCTGTAACTTGGGGAGTTTGGGTCAGATGCCAAGTGCCTGATTCTGATAACTGCCTTAACGTCGCCTGCCTAAATAGTCAAGATATGACTTGCAGACATGCGGGCCAAAGCTCGGCATGACAGCTGATTGCAGAACGATAGACGCACCTAATACTTTTACTGCTGGGGCGCCTGCCAATCAAAACCGCCTAATGCAGAAGAAGGGGAGCGCATGGCAGCTGCCACTCCACTTTTGTCGGGGTAAGCTGGGTGCTAATATGCAACTAATACGCTCAATTGCCCTCGAACGAGTAACTGATGGCTTTATAAGCCGACATCTCACCTTTTATGGCCGTTTTGTGGTTGTTTGGCTTTGGAGCACCTTGTACAGCAGGAATTTCAAGTGCGTCTGGAATACAGTAGTGGAATGAGTGTCAGTCCATGTCCAAGGTCCTTATTAGCGAGGACATGAACATCAACCCTTGTTCACTCAAGGTCATATGGGATTGACCAGAAGTGGCATCCACTCATGTGAACAAACCTTGGCGCCCGAGATCAGTCTCACGTCACCAGTACTGCATTATGCGGCGCAAAGGGGATCAGGTCTTGGTATTGTTATTGTAGTCCTCCTCTGTCTTTATGTCAGGAGAAAGAGCAGTGTTCGTATAAGTACAAGGCTTGGCGTCCTGATAAAACTTGGGGAAGTGGGCCACTGCTTTGCATGGCATTTTCGGAGTCCTGAGGTACTTGTATCCTGATTGTTGAACTAGGCGTTACCAGAATATATCGGAACCCTCTGGAATATTCTGTTATATTCCACCAACTGTACAACGGAGCTCATGTGGGTCAGTGACATCATAGGTGGAGCTTAGTAGGATTAGGGATATTCCATGTAGCTTAGTCAGCCTATGGGCCACTGTGTATATAAAACCTGCAGCTCTGCTGCCTAATGACACAGGGTTGTTCATATGAGCTTTACCAGTAGTGTTAGCATCCAATCAATACAGGTGAGTTGTGTAGGGCGCACTGTGTGTGCTGCTGCCTCCATAACTCTTCATCACTGATGAAGTTGTGGTCTCCAGCACCTGTTAGGAAGTGATGTCCAACTAGTCATCTTGAGATAACTGGGCCACATGCCAACAGTTATGTCATCACTACCTCAGTAAGCGTACTGAAAGGTAGGTCTGGCCGGGCCAATGCCAACGGTCAAGTCAAGAGTCCAGGTAATCGCTGTATTCAACAGGAGGTTGAACTAAGGAATACATGGGTTTTCCTACAGTATATATAGTAACTGGTATAGGGTTTAATACCCAAAGAAGAGAACAATAAGAAAGGACACGTAAGCTATCCTGTGAGAACGTAACTCAGAGAAATGAGAAATACAAGGGCGCCCATTGGTAGAAGGTGAGTCAAGGGAGATAATGTGTGAGAGAAGATAGCGTCCATGGGAAGGTCTACTCAGAGAAAGGTACTGTCCAATAGCAATGCTCGGAATGGAAATAGAATGAAAGAGGCATGGGAAAATCATAACAATAAAACACTAAGAATTTTGCAAAGATTTCTCTGTGCAACTCGCCTGCCACCCAGACAAAGCATGCAGGAGATGAACCCCAGTGGGAATCAACAATATTTTTGTATCTTTAGATAATGTAACTATATTTGCATATATTTACCTCCATATTTTGGAGGCCACAGACTGCTGAATGACACTTGCATGACACTCCCTCGACCTACTCTACCTGCATTAGGTACGCGTCGTACAGGGACACGATGCTGTCAAGTGCGTCACGTGAGTGCATGCCTTGCGTGTCACCTGTGTGAGCGTGTCGGCCACCTCGGATTGAATTGCAGACTCTACTGCGGCGCCGTCCCCTTTGCGCTCTGAATTATTTACCAATATGACTTGTCTGCCTAAATGGGATTCTCGAGGCGGGGGGTACATTGCAGAATGCACAAGAATGTAGAGATATAGTGAGTAATTGTTAGTTGCATCACAAAATTTTAATATTATGACTTCAATTTCAATGCAGGAAGTGATCCTGAGGACAGGTTGAATAGGTATGTCCCCATTTAAGCACAGCATATGGAACGGGAGACAGGTCACGCAGGCAAACCAGAATAAGTGCGCAGGGGGGTGGGGGGAGTAGAGATGGTGGAAGTGGGCATCAGATATGAGAGGTGTGAAGTGGGGGGATGTGCAATTGCTGGGGGACTGGCAGCACAGATGGGCAATGTGGGGGTCTGAACGACACAATGGAAAAGCTAGAAAATTATAGTAATATGTGTAAATACAGCAGGATGGGAGGGGGCAATATATGAGAACATATGTGAATATCTGTAAAAGTACAAGAATATCCTACTGCTCATCCTGATACCGGGGAAGCCCATATACGCAGTGCACCACAACCATATATCCTCCTGATTTTGCAGCTATTTTCGATGTATTTAGATCTATTACCAACATATGCCATGCTAGCTGCGATAGCGGCACAATTCACTAGAATATAAATCCATGTATTTAAAGTGCCACTTACTACATTCCCCTGTATTTAGAGCTATTTTACCTGTTGTATAGAGGAACATATCTAAAAGCATGACAATATTGTCGATTTCCACTGGGGATGAACTCTGAAATTAGAACTCCGCCGACACTCTCCCACGGTAAGGACAGGGCACCCATCACTGATTCTCACGGTAAGAAGCAGCGGCAAAAGGGGCAAGCTCATAGGGCACCATGACGTGCATGTAAATTTGAGAAAATATTTGTGAGCATGGCTCATGTACCCAAAGACTTATATTAGGAAGCCAGGAAGATTTGGTGCAGTTATGCTGAGTGAGGGAGAAACAGAAGCAGAATAGGCACTACAAAACTGGATTTGTAGTCAATTTGTAGTCATCACTACAAACAGATACTGAATCGGACATCGAAATTTGTAATGAGCCACTACCGAACATTATTCACACGACTTCTCGGCATCTAATTCCCACGCCGTTGGTGTTCGGCAAACCGTTCAACTTTGAGCGTAAGGACTCATCCTTCGTACCTCAGGACTCGTAACGCCTCTCTCGCTGCTCGGTCCACATCGAAACTTGGACCCCAGAACTGCAGTACAGTCACATTTTCATCCTTCAGAAATACAGCGTAGGTCAGGATGACATCGATTCTTCCACGCAGTCATGCTTATGTATATATTTATTAAGCTTAACCATGGAGCTGAACACGCGACTTGCGAACAGCCTTCAACTTTTAAGGTGCTTCTGGCTTTCCAAGCTGCATCTTCCAAGGGGTGTCGTTCCTAGCCTGGAGGAGGAAGAGGTTAGCGAGAGAGATCTACGGCTTACTCTGCTCAATGATGTGGCCACTCTACTGTGCACCGGCGAGAACGGCCGTTCATTGGCCGTCACGATGGAAAACACGGAGGATGGACTTCGGTTAACCCTTGCAACCGCTGCCTATCCCCTGGATAGTGAACGTGAAGCCGCCGATAAACTCTTTCGATTATTGCAAGATGAAAAGACCAACATGGAGAGTCTTTTTAATACCGCCGTATGCAGCGGCATGGAGCGGGTGAAGAGATTTATTGAAGAGGTAAAGAAGAATCTTGAATTGTTCCCGTTAATGTCCCTCATAGATGAGGTCAAACCGTGGCGGAGATGCGAGGAGGAGATACCAATGGTTAGTCGGGCGCGGGAGCTATGCGGAGCGGAGATATCTTTGCCCCCGGCAGACCTTCTGAAGCGACTCTTCATCGCACTCCGCGAACAAATAAATTCCCTGGTCGGTATAATCACGCCAGAGACCATCAGGGATACAATAATGTTGGCTCAAGTATACCGCGTTTCTTGCCTCTGCGACATCGTGGGGCGTTCGAGGTTCTTCCGCCGCGTCACTAGATTAAATCACTTCGAGCCCTTCAGCCATCATGCCGCCAGCCTCATGTCCGCACTGCTGGTTCTCGGGAGATACTCTGGTGCCGCCACGCGACTGTCGAAAAGGGTTCGCAACATCAGACAGCCCATCAGCTATGTATGGGACACAGCGATTGCTGCCCCTCCAGCGCCCAAGGAGCTGGTCCTCCACCCTACGGCTTACGAAGCTTTGAGGGCGGGTGATTATGTAGAAGCCACCTCGGGCGAGGAACGAGACGCAGACGAAGCTATGGTAGAGTCAGAATTCAAGGACGCGTCGTGGGAGAACCGAGTCACGGTCTTCCTCCACCCCGAGCTGCGACTCATACTCCTCGCCAAGGATACCACCGAGCGCATCTTAGGTATCAGCGACGATCTCTGCTTTTCCTGCAAGCGGTGGATCGAATATTACAATGAATCCACCGAGCGGAAGTGGATCGTCCGCCCGGGACTTGACGTACCGGACCCTACTTGGATGTATCCCCAGCAGCATCCATTGGAGCAGCAGATTGAGCCACTTGTTTCCGAGTGGACCGACACACTGGTCCATTTCCGTCTTGGTGGTCTAACGTTCCGCCGCGCATTGCTCTTATGGTAGTGATATGCTCCTGAGATACCGTGCTCCGTGTGGACTGGTATGTACTAGAGCTGTTCTTTGAGATGCTAAGTGAAGTGATTCGGAATGACTCAAGTGAATTGTCAATACACCGAAAGCGTATAATTATCTGTGATTACTGTTCCCTCTCATACTGTCCCTGTGAGAGATTATACCCGCGGCTTTTCTTCCTAGACTGAGATCATTCAGTTCATGCCTGGAATGCCTGCTCCTCATCCGGCGCCCCCTTTGCCCCAGTACCACATGGGTCCATGGGCGGACATAGCCCCGGTACCCGAGCTACGTCTTTGCCAGTGTTCTACACGGACGCCGCAATTCCAACCTGCTGTATCTGCCTTCGCAGCGGGATGTAAGCTGATATCACGCTCAGTGCTGACACTGAGAGTATCATTGCTGTGACAGTCATCAATGACATGTATGCTCGTGTTCGAGATACGATACGTGACCCGGTATTGCGCACCGGAGTAGATGATCATGACAGGACGACCAGTGACTCTCAGCATTCCTTGTGAGCAGTCGAGTGGCGTGGCAACGGTCATCGGTCTTTGCCGCAATACCACAACTGCGTACAGCTCGCTAGTGATCTATCTTACCACACGACTCGCGTTGAAGTCCTCCCTTACTCTCCAAGGTTACTCTCTTGAATGACGAAGTGGACCGTTGAAGTTACCATTAATTATCATTCTTTTGCCTCTCTCGGTGACCATAAGCTGACCTGAACAGCATCCATCTCCCAATGGACGCTATTTATGGGTAGTATCATGCTCAGTGATGCAAGTTGCAGTGAGCATCTCTCCGAGCCCGCGCTTTTGCAGACAGGCGGAGGGGCTCTCCCACATGGCGACCAGCGATGCGTAGACTCGGAACACAGGTAGACAGTATGTCGCGGTCCAGCTCAGGATGTTCGCTGCCCCCGGCCTTGAACTCATTGTTGAAGTCATATGCGATAAAGTATCAGCAGCCCCGCGCGCAGTGATATTGATCCTGTCTGTCCATCCATGCTGATCATCACGTACATACGCACACGGAGCCACCCCGCCCCAGTAGTATATACACCCCGTGCCCTCCTCCCCACTCTGCACAGCACTTCTACACAGATGCGCATTCATCCTCCATCCTACCTCACCCTCACGTTCCTTTCATTTCTTTCCTTCCTCTGCGCTCCGGTATGTTCATTGTCATTGAATTGGACCGCAACCCCCTTCACCCCAGACGCCGTCCCGCTCGCCGTGCGCTCACCATACCTCAGCGCGTGGCTCGCCCAAGGCGTAGGAGCCGCGCTGAACGACGGCTGGTCGACCTTCTGGACTGGCTCGGTGCGTCCGTCTCCTTAATTCTTTCCCACCTGATGCTGATATGGAGGAAGTTTAGATTGTGGGATGGGCGGGGTACGTCCGCGTCGATGGCACGCCGTATACATTCATGGGTATACCCGGGGGTACGACACCCGTGCCGGCTAAAGCGGTACAGAAGAGCCTGAACGTATGTTAAGTCTCCTCTCCATCGCAAACTTGGTACATGCTGATTGAAACGGTCCATACTCCATAGTGGACCGCGACGCAGAGTACGTGCGTCCTCAGCGCGGGCAGTATCGATCTCACCGCCACCTTCCTCAGCCCCGTTACCGTACGTAGCCCACCCCTGCTTGTACTTGCCACCCCTCATCCAGCCCCCTTGCCCGCTAGCCTACCAACCTCGTCAACCTTCCTACCTCGCGCTCACCGTCACCCGAACGACGGGAAGGAGCACGCCGTGCAAGTGTACACCGACATCACGGGCGAGTGGCTCACGAGCAACGACAGCCTCGTCGCGAACTGGAGTACGAATACAGGGGACAGTGGGGGCGTGTGGACGCACCAAATACAGCTCTCCCAGCAGGAGGTGTACGCGGAGGTGAGCGACCGCGCGCAATGTGAGTGTACCCACCGTGCCCCGAACATTCGAGTTGCGCTTCGAATGTCTGATTGGTCCTCTCCAGACGGGTCCGCGTATTACTCCACCGTCGCGGTACGTCTCCTCTCTTCCCTCTCCCTTTATCCTCACATCCTCACGCCCTGGAAACTGATACCCAGGCTCCTAACACAACCTACTAAACCGGCGAAGACACCCTCGTCCGCTCGTACTTCCTCGCCAACGGCACACTCCCCGGCGCACAAGACACGGCCTTCCGCGCGGTCTCGGACCGCTGGCCTGTACTCGCGTTCGAGCGCGACCTCGGCGTGGTGAGCGGGGCGGGCGCGGGGACGGTGGAGTTTGCTGTCGGGCATGTCAGGGATCCGGTGGTGGAGTATGTAGCGGGAGCGGGGACGCAGAATCGGAGCGTGCATTTCTGGAGGCAGTACGAGAACGACGCGGTACGCGCTACGCCCATCGACCTCAGCGCGTGTCCACCGTTTCTACCTCGATGCAGATTTCAGATTTTCTGACCGACCACCCAAACGCACTGACCGCTGCGCAAAAATTCGACTCGCGGTTGCAAGCCGACGCGACCAAGGTGTCTAGCAACTATGCCGATATGGCAGCGCTTTCGGTGCGCCAGGCGCTGGCGACGGCCGAGCTCACCATCTCCAAAGGGAGCGATGGCGCTTGGAACACGAGCGATACTATGATGTTCCTCAAGGGTGCGTGCGTCTCCCGCTACCTCGTCTTTCTATCTCATCCGCTACCATAGAGATATCGAGTTCCGGTGTAAGTAACCTCGCTTGAGGCCTTGTGACAGGCAGAGCATTGATTGGCGGTACGCAGCTCGCGAGCACCACCGACGTCATCTTCGCCTCCTGGCCGCTCTGGTTGTACGCCAACCCGGCGCTGGGGAAGTATCTCCTGTTGCCCGTGCTCGCCTACCAGCCGAGCGGGATGTACCCGAATCAGTGGAGCGTGCATGATTTGGGTGCGTGTTGCGTATATCGAGTGAAGTTGGAGGTGCAAATCCTGATCGGTGTAGGGGCGTATCCGCAGGCGTTGGGGCATAACAACGGTGAGAGGGCTAGTAATTTCTGGTTAGTGATGTGCGGATCATGGCTCTACCTGCAGGGAAGGACCTGGCGATGCCCGTGGAAGGTATCCTGTCTCTTAACCTGCCCACAAGAGAAGAAAGCTCACAAGGACGTCACCTGTAGAATGCCGCAACATGCTCATCATGACTCGCCCTTGCCACCAATGACCACTCCCTCGTTAGCACCTACGTCCGTCCCTTCTGTCCCCTTCTCCTCCTGTCCCCTACTGACTGACGATGACACACAGTACTCCCTCCTGGACCAGTGGACGCAGTACCTCATCGCCAACTCCCTCATGCCGGCCAACCAGTTCAGCACGGACGTCTTCGCCGGCACGCTGGCGAACCAGACCAACCTCGCCATCAAGGGCATCGTAGGCATCAAGGCGATGAGTATGATTGCGAATATGACCGGGGATGCCCCGCGGGCGGCGGATTACAGCGTACGCTCGTCCTTTCTCGCATTTCGCGTTGGCAGCGAGGTTTGTTAATGATGGGTCTGTAGTCCGTTGCGAGTGGGTATGCGGAGCGGTTTGGTCAGCTCGCGGTGGCGAGCACCGGGGGACACTTAGTTTTGTTCACTCACTTGTATCCATCCCTTCATTAACCCACTTATTTTGCAGTACGGTGATGGCGGCAGGTATGGTCTTTCATGGTATAGGTCCATGCGTGAGCAGAAGTCCTGACCGCTGCGTCCACCAGCTGGGGCCTCGCATACAACATGTACGCTGACGTGCTCCTGGGCACTCAGATGTTCCCGCAGTGGTTGTATCAAATGTCCCGCATTTGTTGTATCAAATGCGTCCGTGTTTCTAATGAGCTTGTCGGACCGGTACTTATGTGCGTCCCATCCAGAGGACTGTTGGTACGGCACCGTGGCCGGTGAGTATGGAATGTGCTCAAGGCACAACAACTCACCAATTGCTCCATAGGCACGTATGGCGTCCCCCTGGACACAAGGCGCGACTGGTACGACGTGGAGTTGGGCGTGGCGCAGGCGTTCCGCGCGCGCGCGCCGGTCGGGGCGCACCTTGCGCTCCTGGTTGTCAGTTCCACCGCGATGAATACAAGCAGCGCGGGGTGTGCTATTCCTAGTACCAGTTCTGTTCCAGCGTTCTCAGGAACGCAGGGGCCGAGTGCGACTGCCAGTGGTGGCGCCATACCAAGCCATACGAGCGCAGCGGCGCGCGTAGTTGCTCGCCAGATCCTCCTGGTATCATTAATCATCCCGGTATTGGCGCTATGGTCTTGTGTGTGGGTGTAGGGCGAAGTCTTTCCGATGTGTGTGTCACATAGTCATCATCTCTGGACCCAGTATGCAATATTTAGTCACGTACCTCGAATTACAGTAGACCAGTGGCTATTGCAGCTTTAGCTGTCCAGAGCCTGCGTCACTCCAATGAGATGGGAAACAATAAACCCGGGAGTTCCGTAGGCGATTAAATTTTCTCTTTAGAGTGATAGTGCCGTTAACATCACCAGTCACGTCGGATGACCTCCCTAAGTCCCGATATTTGTAGCCGATCTGGTAAGACCCGCTACAGAGCTACCGTAGGATAGTATCTGGAACTATATTCTCTGTACCTTCTCACTCGGTCATGGCACTGTCACACACCCCTATGGACATCATTCATTATCAATTCGGACCCGTCCCTCTCAGAATATGATTGTCAAGACCAGCTCATCCAGTTTGAGAGATACCACTACCTTAGAAGCCGTCCACGAACCGAAAGGCCATAGATGCGGAATGACACCAGTCGATGAGTCCATTCGACAACAAGCGCACCGACTTTTGAGTTACATGGGTGCTCGGGTGGATACATCCAGGTAGGGTCCGGCATATCAAGCCCCGGGCGGACGTGCCACTTGCGCTCAGTCGACTCGTTGTGGTATTCCACCCACCGCTTGCAGCAGAAGCAGAGGTCGTCGCTGGCGCCCACGATGCGCTCGGTGGTGGCGTTGGCGAGGAGGATAAGTCGCACCTCCGGGTGGAGGAAGACAGTGGCTAGGTCGTTCCATACAGTGGCTGTGTCGTTCCCGAGCCCTGAAGTGAGCTTGAGCACGTAGTCGACTTCTGCTCTGTCGTCCTCCTGTTCCTCGCCGGACGATTGTTCGATGAATCCCCCGGTTGCCAAAGCGTCGTAGACGGTAGGCTGAAGATCGAGAACTCGGAACGCTGGAGGGACTGCGATGTCTGTATCCCACATATAGCTAATGGTTCCTTCCAGGGTAGGAATCAAGTTCGAAGTCCGAGCTGCCGCCCCGGCGTATCGACCGAGAGCCAACAGTGCAGACATCAGGCTAGCGGAATGGTGCCGACAGACGTCGAATCTGCGGAGTTGAGTGAGGCGGCGGAAGAATCGCGATCGCCCCAAGACATCACAGAGGCAACACGTGCGGTATACTCGAGTCAACGTCGTTCCCTCCTTGATATTCTCGGGCGTGATGGTGCCGACCAGTGAATGTATATCCTCACGCAGCGCCATGAAAAGTCGCTTCAGATAGTCAGCGGGGGAAAGGGATTCTCTTGCTTCAAATTGCTCCTGGACCCATTCAAGTCTCGGTATCTCCGTTTTGCAGTCTCCCCACATGTCAACCTCGCGTATGAATGACGCCTCTGTGAAGAACTTGAGGTGCGTCTTTACGTCTCCGATCAATTTCTTGACCCGCTCCACGCCGGTGCAAATGGCTGTGTTGAAAAGGCTCTCCATGTGGGTGTTCTTGTCTTGAAATAGCCGAAAGAGGTTATTGACCACCTGCCGCTCACTTTCCAAAGGCTCGGCCGCTGTTGCAAGCGTGAATCTCCACCCCTCCTCAGTTTTATCCATCGTGATGGCCAATGAATGACCCTTTTCTCCGGTACACAGCAGTGTAGCAAGATCATTCAGAAGCGTAATGTTTCGGTCCTTCTCTCTCAGAGTTTCCTCCACGATGCTGGGAACAACGCCTTCGGGAAGGGGTAATTTAGAGAGCCAGAAGCACCTCAAGATTTGCAGATCGTTCGCAAGCCGCGTATTCCGCTCCATGACTGAACTATTCCTCACATATGTAAGCAGAGATGCGCATATGAGTAAAAGAACTAACACTTACCTGCGTTGATTTCCTCCGGTGCTCTACTTCGATGATACTGTAAAGTGGGACTGAGGCACCGTGCCCCGCTCAACCGCCTTTTATATCAATTTAGACCTTTTATACGTACTGAGAGATAAGACTACGTTTCCGATTCCAAAAAGTGATTGAGTGGCGAATGAATACAATAATGAAACGTGTTCGTCTCTTGCGCCCTTCAGTTTGAAGGAGCGGAATCTAGCCGCGGATGATAAGTTCCCACGGGTACATCAGGAAACACGCGGAAGCCAGCATAGGTCAATGTAGGTTACAGAGGGCAGAGTGGTCTTTTGGTTCCCCCCCTCCCCATAGGTCACTATAAAATGCAAGGATATATGAGAGGTCTTATATGGCTCGAAGGTAGAGGCAAATAGGTAATATAGTCGCATAGATGTTGGAGTATAGGCCGCATAGTCAGCATAGAAGGGTTCAATCATATAACATTCATATAATAAATTGGTCTCTAGCAATAATCTACCGGATGCTTCATTCGCTGTCGTATTCTACCCCGTGCAGCTCCCACTCCCTCCTCGCCGTTGCGTAGTCATCGTTGACAAGTGGGCGTGCATCACCTTCATTTGTCTCTGGTACCGTGACCTTCGCGCAACTCCTACGAAAGAAGCTCAGCAAATCATATGCACCTCAAAGCAAGATAATGACTCACCGTGCATGTTTCAGCAAGTTTACTCGGATCCTGGCAACAACATCTAGATCTTTGGTCTTGAAGTCAAAGGTCTCAAGGGCGGTAAGCTGCGCATCAAACTTCTGAGCATAGGCCGATTCCGTAAATTGGATATCCATGTGTTGACCAGTTATCAATTTGTCAAGAGCACATTGAACCAATGCAACTGATGAAGAGTTATGGAGGCAAGAGCACACACAGTACACCCTACACAACTCACCTGTATTGAGTGGATGCTACAGCTACTGGTAAAGCTTGTATGAACGACCCTTGTCATTAGGCAGCAGAGCTGCCAAGAGGGGGCAAAGATCCGGATCTCTGACACGGACCTCACCATCAGTAGGCCCCTCGTCAGTGTCTGGGGTCCCAAATCGCGTTAAAAGCGGTCATTCTGCGTCTTAGACGTTTCCCTCATTCGATATCATATATAATGCTGCAGAGGGAGTCCTCTCATGTAGAATATACCATAGCACCAAAAAACCGCCATAAAATCCCGAGAATGAGTGAATAGAAATCTCACCGACCATCCATCGGGTCACGTGACAGACGCGTCCTCGCGATATTGGACTCAACGAAATACTCCGCACGTACTCTTACACATATCCGCGTACTTTACCCTCTCCGCGAAACCGGTTGGCGATACTGGCGATTATCTAGGCCGCTGCTACATGAGCTTTGCAAGCGAGACCTTCAGCAGCAGTCCGATGATTCTAGTACATGCAGTATAATGGTTCAGATTCCTTTAGTGTATATACATATATCAAGTTATCATATGCTGGCTGCTTTTGCGCCACAGACGCGTCGAGGAGAATAAGCAGACGTGGGAGGAAGTCAGGCTGACTACGGATACATGATGTCAGTGCCGAGCTCTCGGCAGACCTTCTGCGGAAGGTGGTCCTACCCCTTTGTGTCTCCGGGGTCCTTGTCACTAAGGGAGGTCAGTGTCGGAAAGTAGTGTTTTGACCCCCTCTTGAGAGCTGCAGGGTTTATATACACTGTGGCCCATAGGCTGACTAAGTTACGTGGAATATCCCTAATCCTACTGAGCTCCACCTATGATGTCACTGACCCACATGAGCTCTGTGCCACACTTGTATCTCCATACAGTTGGTGGAATATACCAGAATATTCCAGAGGGTTCCAGTATGTTCTGGTATGCTGTAGAACCTGGCAGCTAAGTCAGAGCCTAGTTCAACACTCCCCCTCGCTAACTGTCGCGGATAATCACGCACACAAGCATTGGGCTGACTTAGATTACTTGTAGAACGTAAGTCCAAGTTGCGCTCTGAAGTGCAGGAATTTGACATGCCCTAAGTTCTTAGTGAACAAGTCTACAGGGTTATTCTCACCATCAATGTTGAATACTTCTACTTTCTTCTGCTTGACCACTTCCCTGATATAGTGGTAGCGAATGTCAATATGTTTAGACCTTTGCTCGGTGACTGGATTAGATGCAAGGAAGATAGATCCTTGGTTGTCACCGCAAATAGGAATGGGACCGAGTTGGTAGCCTAACTTATCGAAGAGTTGTCTATCCCATACACATTGGTGGCTAAAATCACTGAGCACCATGTACTCGGCTTCAGTGGAGGATAGCACAACAGTTTTCTGCGCTCTCGACTGCCAATTGAATGCGCCATGGGCTAATTTAAGGAAGTAACCAGTTTGGGACTTCCTGGTACTGGGATCTGATGCCCAGTCCGAATCAGTGCACGCAGTAATACCAAGTCCACTAGCACCATCAAAAGCTAGCGTATAGTTACGAGTCCCAATTAGATAGCGGCAGAGATACAGTGCTTGAGACGGATTAGCAGCGAATTGCACTAACTTGGTCACTGCATAGCTGATATTCGGTTGAGTTCCAAGCACAATGTAAAGCAAGTGTTAGGAAGTGATGTCCTAACTAGTCATCTTGAGATAACTGGGCCATGTGCCAACAGTTATGTTGTCACTACCTCAGTAAGCGTACTGAAAGGTAGGTCTGGCCGGGCCAATGCCAACGGTCAAGTCAAGAGTCCAGGTAATCGCTGTATTCAACAGGAGGTTGAACTAAGGAATACATGGGTTTTCCTACAGTATATATAGTAACTGGTATAGGGGTTGATACCCAAAGAAGAGAACAATAAGAAAGGACGCGTAAGCTATCCTGTGAGAACGTAACTCAGAGAAATGAGAAATACAAGGGCACCCATTGGTAGAAGGTGAGTCAAGGGAGATAACGTGTGGGAAGAAGATAGCGTCCATGGGAAGTTCTACTCAGAGAACGGTACTGTCCAGTAGCAATGCTCGGAAGGGAAATGGAATGAGATAAGCATGGGAAAATCATAACACTAAAGGACCGTGATCCTCGTCTCAGACCTCCTTTTGAGTTCAGTCCATGGGTGTCTTGCTGCTTCAACATGGGCAAGCAAGTTTGGACATACCGTCATCACGATCACCTCAACTGCCCGTTTGGGTGGAGTTCAACAACCGCACTGGGGCACTTTGACCCATGCAAGGCGGGTCATCTTGTTCTCTGGGACTTGGGCCTTTTAGTCCAATTTCCCCCAGGTTCAACCCAGCCCTCGTTCGCCACTCAAATTTACCAGTGCAGCCGGGTGAGACTTGATATTCTTTTGTGCAGTGGTCAGGTAGGTGCTAGGCTAGGCCAAGGAGGGGAGACCATGACAACCTACGTGGCCACCAAGCAGCCCGGCTGTACCTTTGATATCCACAAATTTGA